GTGTGTTGCCAAAGTCAAAAGTCAAAACTCCCTCCGTGTTACTTTCTATGAGAGTCGGTGGCATGCAGAAATATAAAAGGGGTCGCTTAGAAGCAGGCTAATGGGGGACTTTATTCCCTGACATATACGATTAATGTTGTATCAAGCTAAAATCGTCAGCAGCTTGCTCGTGAGCAACTCTTGGGCAAAAAATTCATCGACAGCCCTGCCAGCTGGTTGCTGCTGCATTTGCTAGAAATCTCATTAATTCTCTAGTGATTCTATCTTTCGTAAACCGAGAGGGCTTGTAGGGAGTCAACTTTTCACCAACTTCAATCTCAAGGTGATCCTCTGTCAGTGGAGCTGTTGGGGCACTTTCACATGTCAAAGCAGCTTGCCAGAACCTACTTTCTTAAACTGTGCGCCTTTTTTCGATAAAAATCTTCAAACATTTTGTGAAATCAAATGTATTATCTGTGGAAAAGCAAAACGTGTTCTTGTTGCTGGTCAGTTACATTGGTGCGGCTGGTCAACAGAGGCAAAAATCTATGCACTTGTAATCAAAAAAGGCAAAAATTTATGCACTATGCCAAATTCAATGAAAAAAAAAAATATTACTTCGTTGTTCAGGACAATGAAACGACAGTCCTGCATCAGTTCATTTGTATTTGCATGTCAGTTCAGCTTCACATATATACTCATCGCCATAACGTTACATTTCGGCAAAGTGATGATGCTGAGTAATGAAATCACACCGTTCGATTATCTCAGGTACAGTTCCCTTTCAGACGTCGCTTCTCGTGCAGTGCTAGTTATCGTGTTACCAAAATAACTGAGGTTGCAAGAAATTTTGCTCAAATTACTGTAGCTAAATCCGATTTTATTAATATTGTTAGAACATGCTCGAGGGCCTTGCATAGAATATGCCCGAAGGCACCGGCAAATATTCATTTGCTAAACTCTGCATTGGGAGTCCTATCCTTAACTACAATAATGTATGGGAAAGTAATTCTTTCAAGTGATGTTCGGCTAATAATTTTTCCCAACTAAGCTCCTTTTGCAAAGGGTTGCGGGTCGGAAGAGAATCGAACTTCTCATTTTCACTGTTATGAACCGGATGAGAATCGAACCTCTCATTTCTGTTATTTCTTTATCTTTTTTAATCATGACGTGTTATCCATCACACTACCTCTCCCAGCAATTCTTACATATGAAGTTTATATACCTCTGTGTGTGTTACCAATATACTTGCTGTGATGTACTAAGCTGCTACCACAACCAGCTGACATTTCTGCATTTTTTGCCGGTTTTATTCGAATATCAAGAGCTTCACAAAAATCAAAACTATAACACATGTTTCATCGTACTAGTAAATGACTGATGATATTGACAACGGTAAAGATTTATGCAATAAAGTTGATTTCGATTTATCAAAATTTGAGTACTGTAGATGATAAGGAAACTTGACAGGGTTGTCTTGCTGACACAGTTTGGTGCCAATTTTATCAGCCAACTGATTGCATCAGTGAGTGATTTATCGAAAGCACGCATGGCTTCTGAGAATATTCTTGGCGTGATTAAAGAAACAGCAGTTGATATGAACAATTTAAGTGATGAAGGATTGCGACCGGTAGGTCTATGAATTATGATAAAAGTAATACCTGTATTTATAAGTTATTGCTAAATCAGCTATATATATGTATATATATATACATACATGTATATATATAATATAATATATATATATACCACTGAAAAGCGATTCTGATGTGGTAGTCTATTTTGCAGAAGATATCAGGTCGGTTGATGCTTAAAAATGTGGAATTTCGGTATCCATCTCGACCAATATATCCCGTTTTACGGAGTCTCACTCTCAAGGTAAAATTGCTAAATAAATTTTGATCTTTCACTGCCCCGTATAATCAACTATTTTACCTAGACAGCGACAACGAAGAGGATTTTGTCTTTTGCCTTATGAATCAGCGTCAGAAACTTTTATTCAATATCAATTTTGTTGTTTTTGATTACTATGATATTACGACCACTTCCGATATTCTTGGTACTCAGTATCAGATACAAGGAACTACATTTCGCTATCGTGCTCCCACTTTTCGCTAATTTGTCTCTCAACCTCATCGCTTTGCCTTTTCCTGAGCTTGCTGCATTTACACAGCTTCGCATAGCCGTTCAATGGATCCTTTTACCGTCGTCCAAGGACTCAAGAAAATTATCGAATTTCCAATATGTCGGGGCACGCCTGAATCAACTTTTCATCGAGACAACTCAACAAATCGTAAGAGAACTAAGAGAACTGTTCATGGCTCGAAGG